AAATAATTGTATCGATGTATAATAGTGAAAAAATTCGTTCTTTTTTCTGCAAATAATTCTTCATGTCATTGTTGTAGAAAATGAATATATAATTAGCAAATTATTAATAAAATTGAATATGCTCGAGAAAATTTAATAATAAATTTAATAAAAGGCTCCATAAGATCACGTGCATTACTATCTCCTCACACACACACATATACATACATGAATCATTTTACTTTAACTTTGTGAACTATCTGACATAATTTGGGTAGCCGTTAATTGCGTATGATCTAGACTCGGATAAGATGTGATGAATTAACACATCTTAGACAATTAAGAGCCAAGTAAAACTAATTGAGAAAGAGTTACGTACAGATAAAAAACTCGAAATGAAAAATCTTGATAATGGATTGCGGTTACAAAGTATTCAACAGAAATTAGAAAATAAACTCGATAAAAGCTCCCTTGATTCTCGAAAAAAATATGTACTTCGACGTTTTTCAGGAAGGCGATTTCGAGAAGGATTCGCGGCTGAAGAGACGCGGCCTGGAGAACAGCCCCTTTCGCGCGAAGGACGCGAAATCGCGCGCTAATACGAGCCACGGCGAGGCATAATTTCTGTTTTTAAATCTCGCCTGCTCTCGCACCCGGTAATTGAATCCTTCGTCGAGATTACTCCAGGCGTCCGCCTGACGTTTAGGACGAGGCGGCGCTGCCTCTCGAGCGTCTCTTCTTCAGCCCGCGGGTTATTTAAGATGGATTATTATTCTGCTGGTCTGCGAGGGCGGGCATCAGCGAAAATGAAAATGCTCTCATTTGCAGGCAGATTAATTGCCGCGAATCAGCTTAGTTGACGACGCTTCTCGTCGACGACGTCGGCGACAACGATGCCGAAGCGGGTTGACTCTCGACCGGTCATAATAAGCACTATACTGTCTTAAGTAGTACAATAAACCGCCGCATTGTGTTTTATTTATCTGAGACACATAGTAAAATAATTGCGATTTCGGTAAAAATAAAAACACTATAACCGTACGTTTACAGTACGAAACGTCCAGGAGTATGAGTATATTAATTGTAGATACGTCCTCTTTGAATTTTCTTTCGAGTCGCGCGCCGAGCGGATCGATGACACAAAATCGACGAAACACGAAATCCGCCGCGACGACAATGGCGCTCGCGGGAACGGTGTTACACCGTTGACGAATCGCGCGTGCACGCACGCGTTTATAACATTCTAAAAGCTCGGCGAGGCGTCGCCGGTGACGGGGGGGAGAGAGACGGGGTGTAAGGTTTTGTCGAGCTTCGCCTCGCGACAAATCCTCCCTTTGTCGCGTTCGAAAATGGCGAGAGCAGAGAAAAAAGAAAAAAAGGGGAAAGAGAGAGAGAGAGAGAGAGAGAGAGAGAGAGAGAGAGAGAGAGAGAGAGAGAGAGAGAGAGAGAGAGTAGGAGGAGA